CATGACTCTTTTGAGTCAAAAGTTATTGTCGAAAAAAACGCTTTTCGTAAAAACGGCTATTTTTGGAGTTTTTGCCCTCTGGAGGCTAAACCGTTGACCTGAGGTCAAATCTGAGAACATTACTCAGAAAGGTCTGTAAAAGGGCTATTGAATGCCCTTTTCTCTGGCGCTGTAGCTCTATCGGTTCCCGAGATAGTCGTTGGCAGTTTCCAAAATGTTGAAATAGTCAACATTTTACCTTTGGTGACCCCTGGTGACCTGACCTTTGACCTGACCCAAAAAATGAGCTTAGTGTTTTCGTCCTTATTTTGGACGTTCTTTCGATTGCCGCTTTTTGCGTGTCGCTACGTGGCCCAGGAGCCGAGTTAGAAGGGGGTGTTCAGACACACCCCCCTTCCGGCCCGGCGCGGAATCTCAGAGCACCGGCCCGGCGCGGGTTAAAAGAGCTATTAACTACGCTTTTCCCCGGCACGGCATTCATTTCCGAGTGATGCGGTGGTTTGTTGAAAATTGTCGAAATTGGACCAGAAAATTGGCGAAATTTAGCCTTGGATGACCTATGTGAACTGACCTTTGACCTGATCTAAAAATGACCAGAGTAATTTCGTCATTATTGTTTGCGTCCTTTCGAACGCTGCCTTTGGCGTGCTGGTACGTGGCTCAGAAGCCGAGTTAGAAGCAGGGGTGTGGAGCCGGAGCTGGAGCCGGAGCCGCCGGAGCCGGCATATTTTGCCCGGAGCCGGAACCGGAGCTGGAGCCGTCCAAAAGGCGGCGACTCCGGCTGCTTTTTTGAAGAGGAAAAAATTATTGACCTACATAGTTCGGTTTGACAGTACAAGGCAGTAAAACATGTGGTATTCATAATAGCCTTGTTATGCAAATACAGAAGCAACGTGAACCAATCCTTCATCTTTTCTCTTCCACCCGTATTTAATTGTATAGAGGATGTACTGAGTATTGGAGTCGAAGTCGGAGCCAGAGCCGGAGCCGAAGCCGATTTTTTCTCCAGAGCTGGAGCCGGAGACGTCTGAAATTTCCACGGCTCCGCATCCCTGGTTAGAAGGACCCTGGCCGGCCGAGTGGGAGGGTGGGTGCCACCACATCGTTCTTTTTGCGACAGCTCGGGACACGTCGGCAACAGAGAGCCAAAACTGGGCATAGCTACCTGACCTTTGATGCAAACCGGACCTTGTGACACCTGCATTTTCAAGGGGGGCCTCTGGTCGTCTTAAGGACCCTCTGTTACCCTCAGAGGGACCCTCTGAGGGCCTCTGCAGACCATCACTGGCCTCAAAGGGCACTCTAGTGGCCTCCATGGACCTTCTAGGTACCTGAAAGGGCCCTTTGTTTTCTCTCCAGGGGCCCTTGTTTACCTCAAAAGGTCCTCTTTTACTTCAGATGGCCGTATGTTTGTCTAATACATGAGGCCCCTGGTGGCCTGAGAGGCCCTGTTTGTGTCCCAAAGGGCCCTTTGTTGACCTCTTAAGGCCCCTAGTTGGCCTAAAAAGTCCTCTGATTGTTCTAAAGGGCCCTCTGTTCCCCTCAGAGGGCCAGTCTTTTCCTCAGAGTGCCTGCTGACCTCATAGAGCCCATAGTGGCCTGACATAGCCTTCATATCACCTCAGAGGGCCCTCTGTTGTAAGGCTCAAGTGACCTTCTCAGAGGGCTCCGGCTGCCCTGTGACTGACAATTGTCCACTCTTATCCCCCTTTTGGGTGACCTATTTTCCCCTCTGACACCCAAGCCAAAATACAATTTTGGGACACTGACTCCGAGGGCCAGTTGATTTTCAGAGGGCCCTCTTTGAAGTGGATGTGAGGACCCGCTATTCGCCTCAGAGGGCCCTCTGGTGGCTTCAGACTTCAGAGGACCCTATTTTGGTATCAGCGGGCGCCTCTCTGTGGCATCAGAGGGCCCTCAGAGGCCTCAAATGGCCTTATTACATCTCAGAGAGCTGTCTTTGAACTCAGAGGGATCTTTTTTACTTCTTTGTGGTGTCTAAGGGGGGCCCTCTGGCCTTTGTTCGCCTCAAGGGGCCTCAAGGGGTCCTCCGATGACTTCCAAGGACCCTCTTTGATCTCAGAGGGCCTGATGACCTCATAGGGCTCATGGTGGTCTGACATAGCATCATATCACCTCAGAAGGCCCTCCAGTGGCCTGAGAGGGCACTTTGTGGCCTTTGAAGGCCCTCCATTCGCCTTAGAGGGCCCTCTTTGATCTCTTTGATATCTTCGATCTCAGAGGGCCCTCTTTGAGGTGGCTGTGAGGGCCCTTTGTTCACCTCAGAGGGCCCTCTGGTGACCTCCAGGGACCATCTTTAATCTAAGAGGGCCGTCTGGTGGCCTCATAGGATACCTTGTGGCCTGAAATTGACCCTCGTACCTCAGAGGCCCTTCTGTTCGTCTTAACAGGCCCTCTGCTGGTCTTAGCGGACCTTTTGTGTGCCTGGGAGGGCCCCCTGAGTACCTGAGAGGGCCCTCTGTGTGTTTGAGAGGGCCCTCTGTGTGCCTGAAAGGGCCCTCTGTGTAGTTTGCCTGAGAGGGCCCTCTGTGTGCCTGAGGGGGCCCTATGTGTACCTGAGAGCGTCCTCTGTGTGGCTGAGAGGGCCCTCTGTGTGTCTCAGAGGACCATATGTGTACCTGAGAGGGCCCTCTGTGTGTCTGAGAGGGCCCTTTGTGTGTCTCAGAGGGCCTTGTGTGCCTGAGAGGGCCTCCTGTGTGCCTGAGAGGGCCCTCTGTGTGTTTGAGAGGGCCCTCTATGTGCCTGAAAGGGCCCTCTGTGTACCTGAGAGGGCCCTCCGTGTGTTTTAGAGGGCCCTCTGTGTGCCTGAAAGGGCCCTCTGTGTACCTGAGAGGGCCCTCTGTTTGCCTCAGGGGGCCCTCTGTTTGCCTGAAGGGCCCTCTGTGTGCCTGAGGGGGCCCTATGTGTGCCTGAGAGGGCCCTCTGTGAGCCTGAGAGGCCCCTCTGTGTACCTGAGAGGGCCCTCTGTGTGTCTCAGAGGACCATATGTGTACCTGAGAGGGCCCTCTGTGTGTCTGAGGGGGCCCTATGTGTGCCTGAGAGGGCCCTCTGTGAGCCTGAGAGGGCCCTCTGTGTGCCTGATAGGGCCCTCTGTGTACCTGAGAGGGCCCTCTGAGTGCCTTAGAGGGCCCTCTGAGTGCCTGAGAGGGCCCTCTGAGTGCCTGAGAGGGCCCTCTGGGCTCTGGCCCCCGTTCGTCTCAGAGGGTCCCTTTATTCGCCCCTTTAGAGGGCCCTCTGTTTGCCTCAAAGGGCCCTCCGTTTGCCTAAAAGGACCCCGTATTCGCCTCAGAGGGCCCTTTGGTAACCACAGGGGGCTCTATCGTTGCATTGGAGGGCCCTCTGTTGCCTCCGAGGGCCCTTTTTATCTCAGAGGACCCTCTTTGACCTCAGAGGGCTCTTTTCGACCTATTCGAGATGTCTGAGAGGGCCCTCTGAGTGCTTGAGAGGGCCCTCTGAGTGCCTAAGAGGGCCCTCTGAGTGCCTGAGAGGGCCCTCTGAGTGCCTGAGAGGGCCCTCTGAGTGCCTGAGAGGGCCCTCTGAGTGCTTGGGAGGGCCCTCTGAGTATCTGAGAGGGCCCTCTGAGTGCCTGAGAGGGCTCTCTGGGCTCTGGCCCCCTTTCGTCTCAGAGGGTCCCTTTATTCGCCACTTTAGAGGGCCCTCTGTTTGCCTCAAAGGGCCCTCTGTTTGCCTAAAAGGACCCCTATTCGCCTCAGAGGGCCCTTTGGTGACCACAGGGGCTCTATTGTTGCATTGTAGGGCCCTCTGTTGCCTCCGAGGGCCCTTTTTGATCTCAGAGGGCCCTCTTTGAGCTCAGAGGGCTCTTCGACCTCTTCAAGATGTCTGAGAGGGCCCTCGGACCTGAGAGGGCCCTCTGAGTGCTTGAGAGGGCCCTCTGAGTGCCTGAGAGGGCCCTCTGAGTGCCTGAGAGGGCCCTCTGAGTGCCTGAGAGGGCCCTCTGAGTGCCTGAGAGGGCCCTCTGAGTGCCTGAGAGGGCCCTCTGTGTGTCTGAGAGGGCCCTCTGAGTGCCTGAGAGGGCCCTCTGAGTGCCTGAGAGGGCCCTCTGTGTGTCTGAGAGGGCCCTCTGTGTGCCTGAGAAGGTCCTGTTCGTTGTAAAGGGCCCTTAATTTACTCTACAAGGTCCCTCGTTGGCCTAAAGGGGTCCTCTGATAGTCCTAAAAGGGTCCCTAGAAATGTAATTGATACTTTTCATTATGTAAAAAAAAATGTAAGTGGTGAAAAGGGCCCTCAAAGTGTTTTCAATTTTTTTCGAGTAAAAAAAAAATTTTTTTTTTTTGCTCCAGGGGGGACCCTAGGACCCCCAGGGTCCCCCCTTGGATACGCCACTGGTTCTAGCCACTGCCCACTGGAAGAAAATTGCCTTTTCACAAAACCGGCCCATACCTCCCGGGTCTCCCCTACACCTTTTTGCATTTAAATTCAACCATTCGCCATAACTGTTTGAGGAGCCATTTCGACAATCGGCATTGAGCACAACTATTCCGGCGTGGTGTGTTTCATTTCAGCCATTCAGCAAAACAGATTGAACACTGAAATGAGCGATCCGCAAAACAGTTTAACACTTCGCCAGAATTCGGCATTGAGAGAGCTAGCTCGGCATATGACGAGTAGTTTCGACCATTGACGATTTGTTTTGCACAATGTTGAACCATTTGTTCAATGTCGAGTTATAGAGGAAGATCGCCGAATAGTTTTGCACAATGGTGATTCTTTGTGACCAACCGACCATTTGTAGCGCCACCTATATGGCGAATGTGTACAAATGTTTTGCCCAATGGTCAAAAGCTAACGCAAAAAGGTGAAGTGCAACCGATTTCGACAGTTCGCCATAGACAGACTATGCTGTACTGTCGAAATCGCCTGCACTAATGCTGAAATGTGTGCACTACTGCCTGAATTGGGCGGAAAAGGTGTGTAAGGCGGCATGTGCTGACGATGACGGTGACGGTACTGCCGTGCAGGGGCGGGAAGCCGGCCGCTGACCGGCACCTCATGATGTACGACCTGCGCATGCTGCGCGCCGTCTCGACGATCCCGGTACTGGTGGATCCGTACCTGCTCAAGTTCATTCCGTCGCTGTCGAGCCGGCTGGCGGTGGTGTCGCCGCTGGGCCAGCTGCAGATCGTGGAGACGGCGCGGCTGGCCACGCCGGCGCTGTCGCTGCTCTCTGTGGAGACGGCCGGCAGCATGTGCACCGCTATGGACATCTCGGCCAACTCTCAGGCCATGGCGTTCGGAGACGGCGGCGGCTGCGTGCACCTGCTGACGCTGGCCAACCAGGAGTGCGCCTTCAACAACTACCCGCGCCACACAGAGTTCGCCGAGCCGATCGAGCCGCTGCCGGCCATCGCCTTCACGGACCGGCTGACGCCGCTGGCCACTGTGCCCATGGCCGTCACCAGCGAGCCGCTGCTCTCCGATTGGCCGTCGCACTGGTGCTCCAAGCTCTACCGCAAGCCCATGAAGGTGGACCCCGTTGTGCTCAAGACAATGCGGATGGTGGGCACGATTGGCTACGCGCCGAACCCGGGCACCCGCAAACGGAACCAGCTCCCGTACCGTCTGGGCCGGCCGGGCCAGCGCGCAGCCGCCGCCGAGCCGGCCGCCGCCACTGCCGACGATCCGTTCGCAGTGCACGTGCCAAAGCGCTACCGCAAGATTGACGTCAAGTACAGCCGCAACGGTTTGGACGAGATGGACCACCTGCAGTACAACCGGACCAGCTTCTCGGGCCTGGAGGCGAGCCTGCCCAACTCCTACTGCAACGCCATGCTGCAGGTGCTCTACTGTCTGGAGCCGCTGCGAGAGACACTTATCGGCCATCTCTGCCAGCGCGAGTTTTGCCTGTCGTGCGAACTCAGCTTTCTCTTTCACATGTTGGACACCTCCCAGGGCGTGCCGTGCCAGGCGAGCAACTTTCTGCGGGCGTTCCGCACGATCCCGGAGGCCACGGCGCTCGGCTTGATTCTCTCCGATACGCTGACCAACCGGCAGAAGATTAACCTGCCTCGGCTCATCCAGAACTGGAACCGGTTCATCCTGCAGCAGTTGGACACGGAGTGCGCCGCTCTGCCGGCCGACCCGGACGGCGCCGAGACGGCCGAGACGGCCGGCGCCGGCGAGTCGCCCGTGGCGCGCATCCTGGGCGCGCTCAGCCGGCAGACGACCCGGTGCGTCAAGTGCGGCGCCAGCTCGGAGAAGGAGAGCACTATCCTGCTGTGTAACCTGACCTACCCGCCGGAGCTGGACGACCGAGAGGTGAGCTTCGGCCAGACGCTGGCGGCCAGTCTGTGTCTGCAGCAGACGGTGCAGGCCTGGTGCGAGCTGTGCGGCCGCTACCAGCCCACAGAGCAGGCGCGCCACCTGCTCTCGCTGCCGCACTGTCTGGCCGTCAACTGCTGCACCGACAACCCCAACGACCTGGAGTTCTGGCGGCGCCAGGCGGGCCTGCTGTGGCCGGCCGGCGCGCAGCAGGAGTCGGCCAGCGCGCCGCCGGCACCGCCCAGCATTAAACCGTGCCGCTACGGCGCCGCCTGCACCAGAGCCGATTGCCACTTTTGGCACGGCGGCCGGCCGGCCGGACCGCCGCCAGCGGCCGTCGACGACGCCAAGCGGCCGGCGCCGCACTGGCTGCCGCACACCATCGCCTGTCAGCTGCACCAGGACGGCACAGTCTCGATCGCCGACGGCGACGACGAGGTCAGAGCGGGACCCGGGCAGGGCGGGACCCGGGCAGGGCGGGCCCAGCTCAGAGCGGGACCCGGGCAGGGCGGGCCCAGGTCAGAGCGGGACCCGGGCTGGGCGGGCCCAGCTCAGAGCAGGACCCGGGCAGGGCGGGCCCAGGTCAGAGCGGGACCCGGGCTGGGCGGGCCCAGCTCAGAGCAGGACCCGGGCAGGGCGGGCCCAGGTCAGAGCGGGACCCGGGCTGGGCGGGGCCCCGGTCAGAGCGGGACCCGGGCAGGGCGGGGCCCAGCTCAGAATGGCAGTGGGCAGGGCGGGCCCAGGTCAGAGCGGGGTGCAGGTCAGAAGGGGTGGGGGGGATTGGGGGGAGGTCGGCAGGGGGTGATGCCGGTGGGATCAGTGAACAGCTGGTTGGGTCTGTGGACGGATTTTGCTGCTTGCGCATTTAGCTGCTTGCACCTGAATCACCGCGCCTGGCTGGTTCATTGACTACAATGACACCGAGGATGCGTTCGCACGGCTGATGGTGTGGTTTCTGTTGTGTGTCTGTCGCTGTGCTATGGTGGTGGCGGTGGTAAGTGGTCGGTCGCCGCCGGCAGTGAGCTGTGCAGTGAGGACAGGACAGCTGCACCTGGCGCTGACTCGCGGCCCACTCCGCCCGGCCGTCGGCAGGGGGACGGCGCCGAGCGCAGCGTCTACGACCTGACGGCCGTCGTCTGCCACGTCTCCGACCCCAAGTTCCCAGACAAGAACAATCTGGTGGCGCTGGTGCGCGTCGGGGCCGCCTACCACCAGCGCGCCGTCGGTACGGCGGTTTCGCAGTGGTACATCTTCAACGATCTGGGCGTCACACCGGTCAGCAGCGACGAGGCCGTCTGGCTGCCGCTGCAGTGGAAGGTGAGCACCGAGGCCGTCTGGCTGCAGTGGAAGGTGAGCACCGAGGCCGTCTGGCTGCAGTGGAAGGTGAGCACCGAGGCCGTCTGGCTGCAGCGGAAGGTGAGCACCGAGGCCGTCTGGCTACCGCTGCAGTGGAAGGTGAGCACCGAGGCCGTCTGGCTGCAGTGGAAGGTGAGCACCGAGGCCGTCTGGCTGCAGTGGAAGGTGAGCACCGAGGCCGTCTGGCTGCCGCTGCAGTGGAAGGTGAGCACCGAGGCCGTCTGGCTGCAGCGGAAGGTGAGCACCGAGGCCGTCTGGCTGCAGTGTGAAGGTGAGCACCGAGGCCGTCTGGCTGCAGTGGAAGGTGAGCACCGAGGCCGTCTGGCTGCAGTGGAAGGTGAGCACCGAGGCCGTCTGGCTGCAGTGGAAGGTGAGCACCGAGGCCGTCTGGCTGCAGTGGAAGGTGAGCACCGAGGCCGTCTGGCTGCCATCTGGTGGGGACATAGGCCGGTGTGACGGGATGGGGCGGGGCGGGGCGGTGGTTGGAGTGTCGCTGTGACGGGGCGGTGGGTGGAGTGTCGCTGTGACGGGGCGGGGCGGTGTGTGCAGTGTCGCTGTGACGGGGCGGGGCGGTGTGTGCAGTGTCGCTGTGACGGGGCGGTGGGTGGAGTGTCGCTGTGACGGTGGGTGGAGTGTCGCTGTGACGGGGCGGGGCGGGGCGGTGGGTGGAGTGTCGCTGTGACGGGGCGGGGCGGTGGGTGGAGTGTCGCTGTGACGGGGTGGGGCCGGTGGGTGGAGTGGGCCGGTGGGTGGAGTGTCGCTGTGACGTGGCGGGGTGGTATGTGCAGTGTCGCTGTGACGGGGCGGGGTGGTGGGTGGAGTGTCGCTGTGACGGGGCGGTGGGTGGAGTGTCGCTGTGACGGGGCGGTGTGTGCAGTGTCGCTGTGACGGGGCGGGGTGGGAAGGTGGGTGCAGTGTCGCTGTGACGGGGCGGGGCAGGGCGGGGCGGTGGGTGGAGTGGGCCGGGCGGGTCGGTGGGTGGAGTGTCGGTGACCTCGTGTGGCCGCTGAGTGGGACGGGTGGCCCGGCCGCCGCCAGGTGCCCACGGTGCTGTACTACCAGTCTCGCCGGCCGAGTCCGGTGCCGGCGGCGCGATCGGTGCTCACCGCCGACACGCTGCTGCCGGCGGCCAGCGTGGCCGCCCGGCCCGCGCAGACGGACCAGTTCACGCCCCTGGAGCCCGACGAGCTGCCCGCCAAAGGTGAGTCCCAGGCCGGCCGCGGCTGACCGGCCCAGTGAGCCGCCGCGTCGGCCACCTGACTGTCGTCACTGTCAGTAGAACCGAGTGTCTGAGACATGGACATCCCCCAACCTCCGACTGGGCACCCCGGAGATCGATACAGATTAGAGGTGGCAAAACGTGGACCCGAGGACCCGGTCCAAAGAACCAGTCTGGACCCATCAGGGTCCAGACCGGTTCCTGGAAATTTTCTGACGGGTCCAACAGAGTCCTACCATAAACTATACATCTTGCACACTACACATTATCGCAAAATATGAGGTGAATGAAGTGAATGTTTCTTTGCACACAGTAGCTCATGAGTATTCCCAGTGGGAAATAGGCTTTTTACATCAACATGATGCAACTACTGATGCCTACAATTAGTTTGCATTAATTGACTTTTGGGAAACGGGTCCAACTGGTTCCGATTCCAACTAAGACCGGGTCCGACTGGTTCCAGAAATGTACAGCCGGGTCTGATTCGAGTCTGGTTCCCAAAATTTTCATCTTTTGCCACCTCTAATACAGATCCGATGAGATTTTGGGGTAGGGAAAATGGGGGGATAGTCTTCTGAAAACGACTATGAGGTCGGACCCGGTCTGAGTCTGCAGTCGTATTCAGAGTCGGAGTTGGGGTCACCAAAACCTTCTCGACTCCGACTCCAGGCTCGGAAATGACGTTGTCCTGGTTCAATCCATGTTTCTAGCTGGTTCTTTAACAAATTTCACAACCGATTTTAATTAGTCGTGCATGCTGACACGAAATTTTCGTTCAATGCGTGACGCGAAAACTTCGGGGCCTGTTCTGGGTCCTTCCCAACTCGGAGGGCGCGGGTTGTAAGGACCCTCCCACCTCACCTCCAAAAAAGCCAATGATTTGGCATAAGGAGTGATGTAGGGGAGAGCGGGACACTTTCGTGCATGGGACACATTCGTTTGTGACAGTTTATGGGAACACGAGTGGCTGCCCAAGCTCAAGGTAAATAATAGAAAATATGCCTATCATTGCCGCCCCCCGTTCACTGTACAGGGTGGCTCAAAAGTTCGTTGACACGTTTCGTCAGTAATTCTGAATCAACAAGGAGTTAAACGTCACAATTTTGCATGGGCTTTGGTAACACCCGTCCTCAAGCAGTGTACATAAGTGAGTTCAAATGCATTCGACCCTTGAAGAGCCCACAAAAAGGGTTCACCTCTGACCATGGGTCAGGCATGAAAATGGATGTCGCAAAATCGGGTCGGTTGTGAAACTATCTGTTTTAGGAGTAATTGGGATGATTATTTTGGAACTGAAACATGACAAATTGTCGACAAGCATGTGTACATGATGATCATCCTTTCCAAAACATACAGGGTGTGAAGGGTGTCCCAGAATTACCCGAACATTGTTAATTAGCGTATAAAATAAGGCAAACATGATTGCGTTTTTTCTTTTTATCGTCCTATATAGTCAACTAGGGTGGCTGTGAAATAGCACATGCAATAGATACCCTTGTTACAAGATCAGCCGACAATGATGGAAAATGCCAGCCATTGCTGGTCTCAGTTGTTTTACGGGTCTCCCGAAACTAGATGCCTGTGTTCTTTCACCTCTTGCCGGAGGATAATACGATCATATAAGATAAACTTAACATCAAAGTGTTCCCAGGCCATAAGGCATTATCCCCCAAAACAAAATTTCTGCCTACACCACTTTTGTCATTTTTTTTTTTACATCTGAAGTGGAGAAGCTCCATGTCTGAACATGGCACGACCTTTGGCTTCCAACAGATTTGGTTCACGGCATCCAGTGTTTGTACTGGTAGAATATTACCGCAGTAGTACACCTTTTTGCGTTGTTCGATGGCCAATCGTCATAACCTTTTCGGCATCAGTTTGAACAAGCGTCATTCAGGATAACCCATCGGCGATGTTCATCACTGTTTGACGGTCGGCAAAACAGGCTGGACTCCATTTAACCATTCTGCACAACTCTTTGTCATTGAGCACAATGTTCGTCATAGGCAAAACACTTTGTCAGATTGTCATAATGCTTCGACATTTCACAAAATGGTTAGTTGATGTGCAAAATTCATCGGTACTGTGCGTAAACAATGACTGTTGATTTAAAACTTTCGTCAGTGATCAAAATGTCAATGATGTAGTGCTTATCTAGCCATATTAAATGTTTAATGTTAATCACACATGCATGGATGAGGCTTGCGACAGTTCCAGCGCAATTTGCAACCAATTAAGCATTGGATTCCGAAAAGGCAGCATACGATAGATACTGGGAGACTACGGGCGCTAAACCGAGTAGGCATGTAGACGGCCGAGCGTCGGACTCCTAAACGCTTCGATACGAACTACGAAGTCAGCCGTCATCATCGCGTCACTGCCCGTGCGATGTCATGGGACAACGCCTCGGGCGGCCGCGGTGGTCGGACTCGCGAGGGAAGGCTGACAGATGGCGAGCCGGGCCCGGTCGGACGGGCACCTTGGTGTTTGGGACGGGGTTGACTTATCCAGCTGTTGCCTGGTCCTTGGTGACACCATGGTGTTTGAGGCGGGGTTTACTTATCCAGCCTGTTCCTCTGCTGCCTGTCCATTTTTCAATCAGCCGATAACATGTCAGTTACGTCCTTGTACAGCCCACCGCTAAAGTAATGTAGGGGTTTACCAATCTCAACGGTTGGCTTTGACTGGCGATTGTTTAATGCGGAGTGATCGAAAAGAAGATGTCAATAGCTAAAGTTGCAGCTGCAAGGGTGACGATACATAAAAGCTACATTCAAAGTTTCATTGCAGTCTGGCTAATCGTTCCTAAGCTTCAGAAGCAGAACATACCCATGACTGAAACCACACATTACTTCTGCTGTGGACTGTACCTATGGCGCTCATGAACGGCTACCGATTTTTGTGTGGATAAGTGGCCTACGAGTTTCGCCACCTATGCCTCGGACTGCGCGCATAAACGTGGCCATATTTATACTTCTCTGTAAAGGGGCTGTTGTGTCTGCAACATTAAACAAAAGTGCCGGATCTTTCCAATCAAGAAAAAACGGAAACGCAAGCAAACATTTCATTCATTCGTCGAGCCAAAGCAATAACAATACCACAATGAACCAAGTTTTGAGCCAAATTTCAAATTCCTTTTTTCCCCGTTATCATTTCTTCACATTCTTCATCAGTGTAACACATTTCATTTTTCATGCGCTTTTTGTCTCGCGCCATCGTTCTAATATGGACTTTGTTCGGACAGAACATCCTCCCCCCTCCACGCGCACGCGCGCGTGAGACGCCGGTATCACTGGACACCGTCAGCAGTTATCTCGCCTCCTCGAGAAGGCATATCTTGGTGGCCGGTCGGTGCACTGTACCACCACGAGCGCGCAGACGAGCTGACCTCACCCGGCCGTCCGGGCCGGGCATCACTTCGATCACTCTGCCGAGGGGCCACTGACCCCGCGGCACGTTATCTTCTGCGATCAAAACCAGGTCGCCGGGCGCCAAGTTCCGCATGTCTCTTGTCCACTTGCGGCGACAGGTCAGGCTGGGGACATATTCCTTCAGCCATCTGGTCCAGAACTGGTCTGTCAGAGCTTGTGTTTGTCGCCAGATCCTCCTGCTCGCAGACTCGCCGTTGTCGAAGACGCCAGGTGGCAGACAAGTTACCCGTCGGCCGAGCAGAAGATGGTTCGGCGTAATCGCCTCCAAATCATCCACTTCTGTGGACACATGGGTCAGAGGTCGACCGTTGACCACCGCCTCAACTTCTGTCAGCACGGTCTGTAGCGCTTCGTCCGTGACAGTCAGCTGGCTCAGCACTGCTCTCAGAGCACGCTTAACGGAGGATATTAGCCGCTCCCAGGCGCCTCCCATGTGACACGCACCTGGCGGGTTAAAATGCCACTTAATGCCATCTTGTGCGAGGCGGTCACTGATGGCGTGGACGTTCCATGCTTGGATCTGCCGACGCATCTCCCTCTCTCCTGCTCGCAGATTCGTCCCGTTATCAGAGAACACCTCTTTCGGTCTGCCTCGCCTTGAGACGAATCTGCGGAACGCCATGAGGAAGCTGTCGGTGCTGAGCGAGTGGCACAGCTCGAGGTGCACTGCCCGGGTGGCGAGGCACGTCACCAACAGTCCGTACCTCTTCTCATGCCGTCCTCCCGTCTTGACGAGCATAGGACCAAAAAAATCGAGACCGACGCTGCTGAACACGTGCCGCGTGTCGAACCGCGCCTGGGGCAGATCTGCCATCTTCGGCTGGCACGGTTTTGCGCGGCGCCGGCGACACACCGGACAGCTGTGCAGGACTCTCCTCACCATTGCTCTCCCTCTGGGTATCCAGAACAGCTGTCGCAGATCGTTCAGTGTCTGCTCGACTCCGGCGTGCAGTAGCTTCTGGTGGACGTCCTTCACGATCAGAGCTGTCACGCGGCTGTCCCGCGGCAGGATGACCGGATGGCGGGCGGACTGAGGCAGAGGGGCGTTCACCAGCCGCCCACCGACTCGAAGCAGGCCGTCTTCATCAAGAACTGGAGAGAGCATAAGTAGACAGCTACTCGTGCTGATGGACCTTCCGCTTCTCAGCGCTGCAAGCTCTTGAGTGAACGCCCCACGCTGCACCTCCCGAATGACAAGATTCTGCGCGTCTTGCAGCTCATCAGCCGACAGTGGACCACTTCTCAAGTCGTTCTGGCGATCTTCGAACGAGTGAGATGCCACGAAGTTGATCAGGAATCGCTGCGTCCAGCCGACTACACGCCTGTAGCGCAGCCAGCTTGAGAATCGCTCTGGGTCAGGAATGACCGCGGTTGTCTCTCTGGCTTTGTGTTGAGTAGCTAACACCACTCTAACTTCAGGATCCTCATCAGGTAGCTTATGCTGCTCACTACCAGCCGGCCAGCAGGTTTCTGGCCTCCACAGGAAATCGGGCCCACGGATCCAACGGCTGTCCTTAGTGAGCGCAGAGGCCGTTAGCCCGCGAGAGCAGTCATCAGCTGGGTTGACCTCACCAGGAACGTGTCGCCACTGGCTGGGCTCGGTCAAGTCACGGATTTCAGCAATCCGGTTTGCCACAAATGTGTGGAATCTCTTGCTGTCGTTGGCTATGTAGCTCAAAACCACCTGGCTGTCACTCCAAAACACCACCCGGTGCACCTCTTCAGTGAGCTCTTGGACAACCGACGCTGCCAGACGCACAGCCAGCACGGCTGCCTGAGTTTCCAGGCGTACGATAGACAGTTTCTTGAGCGGTGCGACTCTGCACTTGCCCATGACAAAAGCACAGTGAATGGTTCCGTCTGAGTACTCGTGACGCAGGTACGCCACGGCTCCAAAAGCCTTTTCAGATCCGTCACAGAAGACGTGGAGATCTCTTCTCAGAGGGGCTTCTTCCTGAACGCCATACCATCGTGGCAGCTTGGTGTCACTCAGCCGGGGCAGCTCCTCCATCCATGCCGCCCATCGATCAGATTCCTCTGTGGTGAGTGGGTCATCCCAGCCCTGCTGGCAAGACCAGAGTGCTTGCAGCTGCAGTTTGGCTAGAAGCACAAACGGCGAGGTGAATCCGAGTGGGTCAAAAATAGACGCCACGACGCGCAGTATTTCTCGCTTCGTTGCCGGCTGCCGCACATAAGCCAGCTCACTGGGCGCCGTGCTGCTAAGCTCATCCTGCTCGGCATCCCAGGTGACACCCAACACCTTCTCAGTTGGCAGTGTCCTCTCTAAGTCAGATGTACTGGGAGCCCGCTCCTGTACAGGAATTCCGACGAGGACAGACTTATCATTGCTGAGCCATTTTCGCAGCCGGAACCCGCCTCTTGAAATCAGCTTTGTCACCTCGATTACGATAGTTTTCGCCTGGGCGGGACTGTTGACTGAAGTTACCATGTCGTCCATGTAGAAGTCTTCTACCACGATGGCTGCTGCTTTACGACCCTCGGGAGTGTCTTCAGCCCTCTCTTCTGCGGTCTTCTTCAATACGAAACTCGCTGAGGCGGGTGACGAGCGAGCTCCGAAGATGACCCGGTCCATTTGATAGGTGCTCGGGGGTCTGTCTGTCTCTAGATCCCGCCACAGGAACCGGAGTGCCGGCTGATCCTCTTCTCGGACCGCCACCTGCAGGAACATCTGCTCAATATCGGCGATAAGAGCCACTGGCTGCTGGCGGAAGCGAAGCAGCACTCCTGGGATTTGTTTCAGCAGGTCTGGGCCCGTTAGCAAATTCTCGTTGAGAGATGTGCCTGCAAACTTCGCCGCTGCGTCAAACACCACCCGGAATTTACCAGGTTTGCTCGCGCTGGTTACCGCGTGGTGCGGCAAATACCAGCACCTCTGATGATGCTTCTGTAGTTCCTCTTCGGTCAGCAGACGGGCGTAGCCTTTATCCAGATACTCTCTCATAGTGTCGCGGTAAGCTGCAGCCTTTTCTGGTGCTCGTCGGAGCGCCTTCTCCGTAGTTTCGAGGCGGCGCAGGGCCATGCTACGGTCATTGGGCAGGGGGGCGCAATCAGGTTTCCACAGAAGGCCGGTTTCATACCTGTCACCTCTCCACTTGGTGGTGGACTCCATCATCTCTTCCGCCAGTCGATCTTCATGAGAGCGAGGCTGCTTCATATTGTACCTTGTTCCAAAAGCCTCGGTAGACCAGAAGTCTCTCACTAGAGCTTGCAGCTTCTCTTCGCCTTCACAGCGGTGGGCCACATGCAGCACTTCTCGGGAGCCGACCGGTAGAAGCTGTGCTACGCTGCCCGTCAGACACCACCCAAAATACGTCCGGATGGCTGCCGGCTGGCCTGGCCCACCTACTCGGGCCTCCCGCTGGAGAATCGCCTCCAGCACATTAGCACCTAAGAGTAATTCGATCTTCCGTCCGTTGGTGTCTGGAATCGAGATGCCTTCCAGGTGTTTCCACTGAGCCCTTTTTGACCAATCGACTCTCTGCGGCCGGATATTGAGCTGGGGAACGGAGAAGACTTCGGGCACCTTTACAGGCTCACATTGCCCGTCTGCCGACAGCGGAGCCACCTGCAGTGACACCTTCATTGTAGGCCGGGTCATGCCGGTACCCTCAACGTTACCGAGCGTGAGCTTCTCCGTCGACCCAGTCACCGACAGATCCCGAAGCACGCTCTCAATGCATAATGATGTGTCCGCTCCCGAGTCGAGCAGCGCGTGCGTGTCGACGAACTTCCCAGCTGGGCCGAGTACTCTCACGGGAACCACTTGCAGCAGTGCTTTACGTGGCCCGCTCGTTGCATCCAAGGCTGTCGCCATCACACTTCTCGGCTGGTCAGCAGCTAGTGCTGGAGCATCCTGCTCCTCTGAGCGCCGACTCGAGTGATCGGGTACATGCAGCAGTGGGTGATGCTTCCCACGACAGCCGTTCTCTCCACAGATCAACTTCTTTCGACACCGGCTGGCCCAGTGTGACTCGCCGAGACAGCGATAACAGCGTCTGTTGTCACGCGCGAGCTGCAGGCGGTCGACTGGCGCCATGGCTTTGAAAACTGGACAGCAATCCAGATTGTGCGCCTCTCCATCGCAGGCCGGACATGGAGCGGGCTCTGTTGCCGTCGCTGTAGCCAGAGTGGTGCGCTGGCTGCTGCCTCTCCGTCGACCGGCTGGCTCTGCCGGAGCCACCCGCTGCGTTCTGGGCATCATCACCTCCCGCTGTCTAGAGACACTGAGCGCGCGGCGACCAGCCAGCACCAGCGGTCTCAGCCACTGGTCAACGTCTCCCAGCGTGGGACGACGTGGTGCCATCTTCAGCTCCACCTGGCCCCACTGCCAAGCCAGTGACCTTGGCAGCTTTTCTAGGACCTGGTCCAGGTTTGTTACTGCAGCGAGGTCAGCTTCGAAACCTCTGGCGGACAGAACACTGACGGCGGCGTGGAGGGCGCGAGAGAACCGCATCAGGCTCTCGACATCATTTTCCTTTATGGAGTGATGCTTGAGGACACCATCAAGGGTAGCTGTTACAACCGCGCGAGGGTCCCCAAATTGCATATCCAGCTCTTTCAGTGCCTCTTCATACATGTTGCCGTCACATAAGAGCCCACGCACTGCTTCTCTCGCTTCGCCTGTCAGACAAGACTGCAGGTAGGTCAAACGTTCGGTGTCTGAGAGAGCGCCGTTATCATGCACCAGAGCCCGGAAAAGTCCGCTCCACCGTGGCCATTCGAGTGGAGAGCCATCAAACTCGTCCAGTGTTATCTTGGGCAGTGATGAGGTCCGGCGCTGGCCGTCACCGCACGGCAGCTCACTCAGCCAGCGCTCCGTGCGCTCCCGGGCGTCAGCATTTGCATTTCGTTCAGGCAGGTGAGCTCGCTGGGGCCCTGCAGCGGACTGAGATCGTATCTGATTCACATCGGTTAACTGCTGCATCTGACCGTGTCTTGATATGACACCGGAGGGCGGCCTAGGGTCTGCCGGCGCTCCATTTCCCTCTCTGTCTCTATCTTCAAATACCAAATCGTTCGGGGACTGCGACTTCAAATCGTCGTCTTCCATGAGCCGCAATTCTAAAGCATCGATTTCGGCGGCGTCAGCAGCCCTCTGAGCCTCTGCCCGGGCCTCCTGTATCACGAGTTGGGCCTCAGCCTCAGCAGCGGCGGCGGCAGCGGTGGCCGCCCGTCTTCGTGACTCCAGCGCTCGTTCAGCTTCATCAGCCGCTCGTCTGGCCTGCAGCGCCTTCAACTGGGACACCTGAGCCTTCCTGCGCTTGGCACTGGCTGTTGAGGTGCTGGTTCCAGCCTCACTCCTCGTCTTCAGGCTGGCCTCCGACGTACTCGTATCTCCGCTCATTTTTACGTTACGAAAATATGAAACTCGTTAAAAGTCCTCAAACCTTATAAAATAATAGTTCTGCATTGGTTACGTTAGTTCGTTACAGCGTTATGCGCATATGTTTCAAAATCTAAATACTGATGCAAGTTCTGAGTTCAAATGCTTAAGTGCGTTACGTTAATTCTGGATCCGGCCCGGAGGACCATAATGTTGTGTCTGCAACATTAAACAAAAGTGCCGGATCTTTCCAATCAAGAAAAAACGGAAACGCAAGCAAACATTTCATTCATTCGTCGAGCCAAAGCAATAACAATACCACAATGAACCAAGTTTTGAGCCAAATTTCAAATTCCTTTTTTCCCCGTTATCATTTCTTCACATTCTTCATCAGTGTAACACATTTCATTTTTCATGCGCTTTTTGTCTCGCGCCATCGTTCTAATATGGACTTTGTTCGGACAGAACAGGGGCGATCGCCGATCTGCTTTTAGTTCTGACGAAATGTTATGAGGAATGTCGAAACTAGCATGGGGATGTTTTGGTGAACGACGAAGGGATATAAACGAATGACGAAGCATATATCCAAATCGTCAAAGGTTTTGCCGGAATTCAATCAGTTATGGCGAAAAGCGAATGTTATACCAACTGACGAACTGTGGAGTGGGATCAGCATTCCGTTTTGCCCATATGCTGAAGGTCTTGCCGGAATGCCTCTCACTGGCGCCACCTATGCGCTGATCGGACGAATGGGTTTTGCTGATTGGCCATCGAACAACGCAAAAAGGTGTACTCTGTGCTAACAATTGTCTTTGGGCCATCATATCAAGCCGAATGAGTGCACGGTGGCTCAAAGTGTCTCATAATTTGATTTTCGACGGGTGCCTGGCCGTCTCTGCTGTTGGGGCGTTGTAGCCATCTGACGTTCACACACGCCTTTTTTGGGCGGTTCAAATGACAGAAAAACCTTCGTTCGACCACAAAGTGTGCTTCAATATACTTTTTTGTTGTATATGTTATGTTTTTGGGATGAATTGTAGTGATTTGCGCTGCTTTTCCCGTAGTTTTCGCATATTTTTCAGGCGAAGGACCCCAAATTCCAAAATTTTGTCGGAGATAGTGGTGCAAAGTAGACTGATGTTTTGTAGATAATCCTGATCTATCGCTTAGCTAGTTTTTAGCTAGATCGGTGACGTTTGTTGTAACCGCGAGTGTCGCGGGCCGTATATTTTGGGTGCCTCGTCCTCCGTCGGCGAAAGGCATTAGCGGCGCGGTGGAGGCAAAGAGTTCGGCCGCGTGGCGGCGTCACGAACGTTCCGCATTGTTTGGATGAATTGAAAGGCAGAAAGGCGCAAACGATGTAAGTTGGTTGAAATGATTAATTTTTTGCTATGTACTGTGCAATGAGTTAATGGCTGACTTCATTCTAAACGATTTAACGACTGTTTCATACGATTTTCTGTTCGTTTCAGAATTTACGGCATAATACAGCTATGTCACTGAATCGCATTATTAGATGGCTGTAACAGTAAATTATCGTAGTCTAGCCACGAATAGCAAATTTCATATGATCTGTATTGATCGGGTTACCATGATTTCCTGAATTGCTGACTTGACCTGTACTAACACAACCTACATGAACTGATTTTACCTGACCAATGCTACGCAACTCCGAATTGTCACCTGTAGTTGTAGATGTATGATATTGTCTCCTCTGTCACCTTGTGTATACATTGATTCTTTTCCTGTGGCTGAATTTCATTACCTGAATTCCCTGGTCATCCTCTCACTCCATGATGGCTGAGCATCAAAATGCAGATGATATGACAGATGGCGTGAGAAGTCGTAAGACAACAGAGAAGGGAGCTCAGTATCAACTCGGTGTAAAACAAAAGGTGTACAAGAGAGCATTGAGTGCAGTAAGGTCCAGTGGTCAGAGGCTGATTGAAGTTATGTCTGCAAACGAAGGCATAGGATGTGTCAAAGCTGAGCTCGAGAACTGGCTGAAGCTGTGTCAGGAGCTGACGTCATCTGATCACGAGTTAAGGTCCCTGCTTCCAGATGATGAGATTGATTACCATGTGAGTAGGCATTTGAGTCAGCTTGATGACAATGATGCCATGAAGGCAAAGGTGTTGAAGTATCTTGCGGACATCAAGCCCGAAGAAATGCCTGCTGATGGTGTTGAACCTCAAGATAGTGCCTCAAACCTCTTTGTGACGTCAAGAACTGCTCTGTCTAGAGTCAGTCAACATTCAGATGGGGGAAGCTCGACGTTGAGCTCCGCCAAGCTGAAGGAGAGACAAAAGCAAGCAGAACTGGCAGCAAGAGCAGCTGTTATCAAGAAAAGCCAAGAAATGAACAAGAGGAAACTGGAACTGCAGTGTGAGGAGGAAGACATGAAGTTGATGATAGAGCTTGCTGTCAGCCAAGCAAGGGAAAGAGCCATTGATGATTTTGAAAGAGATATGAATGACACCACCAGAAACCAAGATGCATTCCAAGCAACGACAGCAAGACGCATGTCCCAGTTGATGCTGGACCTGCCACTCCAAGATGCTGCCCCAAGAACCCGAGTCCCACAGACAAGTCAGCAGCAAAGGCCAGCGTCAAATGTCCATGCTCCACAGACGAGTGAACAGGAGCAGAGCATGGATGTTATCCAGGGCCTTGTAAATCTGTTGCAGCGTGAAGTAAAGCAGAGCCACCTTCCTGCTCTGGAACCGGACGTGTTCTATGGTGATGTGGCAAAGTTTGAGTTGTGGCTCAAGTCATTCGAAACATACATAGAAGCCAAGACCAGCTCTCCAATCGAAAGACTGCATTACCTGGGTAAATACACTGAAGGTGAAGCGAAGGCGGCAATTCTTGGATTCATCCAGCTGCGGACAGAAGATGCTTACCAAGAGGCAAAGAACAGACTCAATGACAGATATGGAAACGAGTTTGTACGAGCA